AACACTGGGTCACTTAACAGCCACCAGGAACTCAAGTCCCAGGAGATCAGATAGATGCTCTCTGGCCTCTGTGAGTACCTGCATATATGTGGTGTATATAAATCCATACAGGCCATACATATATGTATACATTTTTTTTAAAAATCCCTAGAAAAAAGGCTAGAATGGACACTATTTCCTACTCTTGGTTACCACTGTGTGAGTTCCCCAAGTAACTTCAGCTCTCTGATCTTCAGTGTTCTCGTATGTCCAACAGAGCTAACATTCTTATTTCACAGACACCAGGAGTAAATGCAACTTCTCTTTGTGAACCATTAGCTAAACAGCACAAGCCTCATTTACTGGCTTTATGACTCAGATTTGCTGTCTTTAGGGCATCAGTATTTCCATCTCTCCTCTTAAATAACACTACATCCCAAGGAAGAGAAGAAGGGAAGTCCTCTGGGACAAAGACAAGGGAGGAGGGTGAGGCAAGCAGGCTGGAGTGGTGACAGGGTCAAAGTGAGAGTAAAAACAGGGGAAACCGTGAGATCTCTTTACACAGCTGTCACTTCTTAATTACAGCCTATTATTTACTACTACTTTCCACCCTCATGCAAACTGTGAAGATTCCACTTTATTTACAAAAGTGTTTTTCTCGTACACTTTCATCCACAGGCTGACTTAGTTAGCCCATGCCTGAGAAAAAGCACACAGACTACATGGCATTGTTTCTGCTATGCATGGTTAAAGTGGCTCTTCACTTTCATACCGGAATCTGATTGGTGTGGTAATCAACATGGGTGATAAAGGTCCTTTAGAAATGTTTAAGGTCAGCAGGGCGCTGGTGGCGTACGCCTTTAACCCCAGCACTCAGGAGGCAGGTAATCTCTGAGTTAGAGGCCAGACTGGTCTTAAGAGAGAGTTCCCCAATAGCCAGGGCTACACAGAGAGAAACCCTGTCTGGAAAAACCAAGAAAGAAGAAAAAAGGGGGTGTTTAGGTCATGGGAGCTCTGCACCAATGAACAGGCGAATGCTGTCACCAGAGGTGTGTCCTGCAATACAGCCTGAGGGACTCCAGGTCCCTCACGCAGCCACATGCCCTTTATGCAGGCTTTTCTCTACTGCCCCATGACTCAGTATGGACAACCTCTTCAGATGTGACCTCTTCACTCAGAACTCTAGAAACATAAACTAAAGCTCTCTTACAGACAACAGTGTGCATGCCTTTCTCTAATGGTTGTTAGTGCCTTAGAGCAGGTTATGCTTACCTTGTATTTGTGCCTTGTCAAGGACCTGGCACAAACCTGCACAATATAATTAACTGTTGAAATGTTGAAGCATTTCAACAGTTAAACACCGCATAGCCTGGAGCTTCTTTTCTTTTCTTTTCTAATATCCTAGCCTTTCCCACAGTCCCTTCAAACTCTCTAGAGCAAGCCTTCTGTTCCTATGTGGTATCCTCAGCCAGTGTTTCTGGTGCTTCCTGTTACCTGCACTGTCTTCTGAGCTTCTCAATGGGCACCTAGCTGTCTGCTGACCCTCTGCTTTCTCACTGCGTGATACGTGGGAAAGAGAACTAAGTCAGGGATCCATCAACAGATATACTGGGGGAAATAAAATAGGAAAGACAGGATTATTTTAAAACTACCCTTTCTAGAACTATACTTACACTCTGCTAGAGACATCACTTCACCCTTTAAGAAAGGGAGAGGAAAGAGAGGAAGAGGGTTATAGGAGAGAGTGAGTGCAGAGTGGGAAGGGTGGAGGGAGGGGGAGGAAAGCGGAATTCACAAGTGGAGATGACAGCAGCTCTAAGGACAGGAATCTTCAGATTAACCCACTACAATGCATTTGCAGGAGGCAGGAATTTAGCACTGAGGCAGGAAGACGTGGTACAAATCCGTGAAACCTCAAGAAAAATCCAGCCGTTATTTCTGCTTTTGGTGAAATGTAAATGAAAGAAGTTATAAAAATACCTGCTGAAACAGTTAAAACCAAAGCCAAACATCGCTATTTTCCTTAACTGTTAGTATAACATAGGCATAAAAATCTTTAGTCAGAGCCAGGCAGTGGTGGTGCATGCCTTTAAACCCAGCACTCAAGAGGCAGAAGCTGGTGATCTCTGTGAGTTCGACACTCACCTGGTCTAAAAAGCTATGCAGAGAAACCTGTCTCGAAAAACAAAAAACAAAAACATCTTTAGTCAGGTGCCTAGGGTTTAAAAGAATGTAGATGGACTCACTCAGACAATACATATTTAGAAAAAAAAAAAAACTTGAACTATTGAAATCCTTTGACCTATCAATTTCAGGAATAGAGATTTCACAAGAAAATTCATTATATTCATGCTTAAATGAGAAAGCAGATTTATTAAAAGTTGATAAATATAAATACTTCTATTTTTATATTTATATTCATCAGTATTATTTATGCTCACATGTGTTTTTAAACTCACAAATATTCTTTCCTAAGATTCATCATCTTAGGTATTTCTGAGTGAGAAAGTCATTATCAAGTTTGACTTGGCTGCAGAACCTTTTAATACAAGTTTAAAGAGACGATAGCAATAGCTACTTTCCCCCAAAGGTTTATAAAATTTTAAAGGCTCCTTTTTTCTTTTTAAAATTCCTCTTTTCAGCGTAGAGAGGAGGAGCCTAGGAGACTCACCCCCAGAGGCTACTCCTAGGTACCTCTGTGCCAGAAGGAACACATTTGGAAAGATTTTTCTTAAAAACGATTTATTCTGGCAAGTTGGAGACTCAAATCTGGACCTCACAAATGCTAGGAGGTGTTCTTCAGTCACAGCCTTAGCCCTGAAAACCACTGCTCTCCAAGAACAGCGTGGGGACAGACATAGAGTAGAAGATGACTGCATTTTGTAAAGATGCTTCTTTCTATTCACACCATGCAATAAAGAATGGCTGCCAAGAGCAAGCAGCACTCTTCTGAGCGCTGAGTCTGCAGGCAGTTTGTAGTTTTGTCCCTTATGTGGTTTTTTCTATGTGACTACATTAATTTCCTAAGAAGAAAAATATTACTTATTTTAAAACGGATTCTTCAGTAGCTTTTTCATATTGCTTTACTTTGGGTGGTATTAAAGCATTAACCATTCCACTGACTCACTCAATTGAAGTAAATATCCTTGGTCTGATAAAAACAGAAGACTCGGGATTCCAGGGAAGTGGGCTCTCCTACCCAGTCTGTACTGGAGCTGAGTTGTGAGTGCCCCCAGAAAAAGGCACTCTGTGCTTTGGTCCTGTGTCTTATAAATGGGCTGCAACTCTAGGAAACCTCTGCCCCTGCACTCTGCAGGCGGCTGGTTCACAAGTGCTCAGTCAGGGCACTTCCCCCCTAACACTAAACACAACCATGTGATGACTTAATACCTGGTTCTGTGTACAAAACCAAAGTTTCATGAAGGCAGACAATGCTTAGCATTTGCCAGTGCATTCTACAATGCCTGGGACAATGTCTAGCAATTGTTTATAAATGTCTGTTGAGCGACTGTTGAATACAGAGCCACATTAGGACACCCTGTTATAAGTAGGTTGTCAGAGATCCTATTTTCAGTCTGTTTATATCTCTGAAAACTTCAGTATTGGTCTAGTGTCACATTCATGACACATATAAACCAACAGTCTCAGAGGCGCTTTTACAACTCAATGGAGATCTTAAAAACACCAAAACAAGTGTAAGAAAAATAAGCACAGAAGGCACCATATAAGCAGAGACATAACATTTTAAATACTTCCAAATATTTGGTTTCAGAGCATAAATGGAGCATGTGGGCTTTGCACATCTTTCCCTGCCAAGTCTCAGAAAGCTGACTACACTGCAGCCATCTGAAACAGCTGCTAGCACTCATCTTCAAATATTTGCTTTCAAATATAGATTGTGCTGTACAGCTCAGATGCCTGTGCGTTCCCACTATACCTGAGCTGAGATAACCCTTCTCCAGTAGGCTACTGCCAAAAACTTGGGTGACAATTACTTCAAATAGACAGGGCAAAAGGTTAACCTCAAAGGCAGGAGCTGAACTGCCCTGGTTTTTTAAAGTTAATGAAAAAGAAAATGGGAAATGCTTGGGTTCTTGATGAATGATAACGTCCCCTTCACTTAAAACTATGGGCTTCCTCAAACTAAATTTCATGTTTAACAGCACATTTTTCTTGCGGCAACTCAAATATAAACTATCAAATCCACCTCACTTGGGGTTGCTGGAAGGTCCAGGCCACAGAGAGAAATCTTAAGCTAGAAAGTAGGTAGTTTAAAACAACACTGGCCCCTATGTGGTGTGACTAGCCTGTTTCCTAGGGTCATACGTATCCATAAATATCTGACTGGGTTTAGACTTCTTAGGGCTTCACAGCACTACAAAGCAACACCTTGGAGTCTGTAAGGACAGTGTATTCCATGATTTTTACCCTTTTCCACAGACATCAGCTTTGGTTGGCCAAGTTCAACTGACTAGGTTTATCTTAACTTTTAAGATGGCAGTCAATACAAGTACCTATCATTAGCCTACTGTTTCTCTCCGGTCTATTATTCAAACCACGTTCTCGAAGGGCACTCAAAAAAGATAAATGATTATACAACTCAGAATATTCTACCTGCCATCCTACAACACGGCAGCTCTTCTTTATCCTACTCTTATTTATTTTATGCAAATGGGTGTTTTGCTTGCATGTGGGTCTGCACCACATGTATGCCTGCTGGCCACAGAGGCCACAAGAGAGCATCAAATCCCCTGAAACAGGAGTTACAGATGGTTCTGAGTCAGCATGTGGGTGCTGGGAACAGAGCCTGGTCCTCTGGAAGAGCAGCTAGTGTTCTTAACCCCTGAGCTATCTCTCCAGCCCTTGAAAGAATACAACTTAAAAAACACCTTACAGTTTAGAGAACCCACTAATGAAGGAAACTGGGATGTTTTTCACTTCCCAACTTAGCATTTCTCTTTTGTGTGTAGCAACTCAGATACTTAATTCCAGACAGACATGTGTACTCTTCCCAACCTTACCTCTTTATGCACCTTCCAACTGTCTACCGTCACATTGAAGAGAGCTTTGAGGGCCTCAATGGCACAGTCTGTCTCCTGAGGTGAAAGAGGAGGTCCATTATGGTCTATGGCCGATTCATACTCATCGGTCCACTTGATGCTAAAGGCACTTTCCAAGATCTGGGTTAGCAGCGGTAGTCCCTGGAGCTCATAGCGCAATTGTGACCTGATGTCAGTGTGCAAAAGTGACAAGAGGAAGAGCAAGCGCAAGTCAAAGCACTTTATGTCGTTGATAAACTTTCGGTCCTTGCACTTTCTTAGGAGGTTACAGAGCTTTGCAGCGAGATTCAGTTCCAGGCTGAGCTGCTGGGCCATCTGACTGTTGAACACGATGTTACACAGACACTTTAACGACTCTACAATAACAGGGAACTCTGACACCTTCTCCAAAGAATCATCCGACTCGTGCAGCTTGGCTAGTCTCAGCAGTATTTGCATATTTTCCTTAGTTGTTACAGGAACTAAAATCTTTTTGTCTCTGGAGAGAATGCGGAGTACTTCCAGGCAGGACACTTGACATGTTGTTGGGACATCCTTTACAAGGACTTTAAATATGCCTTCACAGAGTTTCTAAAAAACAAGAGCAAGGATGCAAAAGTAATTATTTGGCTGAAACTATTTCAAACAGAATGTTTTCTGCCAGTGTAGGCTAAAGACCTGGCTGTAAGCGGACTTTAATTTTTATATAAATCACAAAAACATCAGAGCCAGACAACAGCTTCTGCTTGGTACACATCCCCCACTTCTTCTATAGATATGGGAACTGAGGACCAGAGGGAGGGAGAGGAACTTGCACTGGGCACTGGATCGGTGCACAGAAAGAGCTGGAGGATGCAGTCACTGTCCTTCTTGGTCCAATCATTTTTTTTTTCCTCTTAAAACCACATATTTTATCTCAGATCATCAGAATAAAGTATCTTCCATAGCTTTAATCTTAACAGGGCAAAGGGGAATCAGGGCTAAAGCTGGAGAAGAGATTCATAGCTGTGTGTGGATGCCATGGAGGCAAGAGGAGGGCACTGGCTCTCTTGCAGCTAGAGTTACAAGCAGTTGTGAGCTGCCAGGCGTGGGTGATGGGACCAAACCAGGTCCTCTGGAAGAGCAGCAAGTGCTCCTGACAGCTTAACTCTCTCTCCAGCTCTTATCTTGTGTTTCAAAAGTATCTATACTGTCAAATTTAGTGACACTACCTCAAAATTCAATGTTAGCTTTCTTCCTAAACTGCATGTCTGCATCTCTCAAACTTAATCTCATATATAGACCAAGCAACTGATATCATTCCATTAAGACATTTTTATATATTCCATTATTTTTAAAAGTAACAGATATAGCCAATAAGATTTTTAATTTTTTTTTAAATTTTATTTTATGTGCATTAGTGTTTTGCCATGGGTTTCAGGTCCCCTGGAACTAGATTACAGACAAGTTGTAAGCTGTTCTGTGGATATTGGGAATTGAACCTAGGCCCTCTAGAATAACAGTCAGTGCTCTTAACTGCTAAGCCATCTTTCCAGCCCCAATAAGATTTTTAAAATAAAGGTTCTATTAGCCTATCATTAGACTTTAACTCTTCAAAAAGAAGCTACCTGGGGTCAAACATGATTTTGCTAAGACTCCCAGGTCACAGGCAATTTCCTGATACAGGCTATGCACACAACTAATAGAAGTATGAATTCTAATGTAAATATATTCTAAATAAAGGTAACAGTGAGCTTTACTTGACATGCTGAAAAAAAAAAAAATACCATACCCATGTCAACTCAACCTGCTGTATCTGATCTATATCCATATCAACTCAACCTGCCTCATTTGGTACAAGGCTTCCTTTTAAAGTCTTAACGTCACTGCTAAGGCTGTATTTTAAATAAGTGGCATCTAGAGCTAGAGTTAAGTATGGCAGTCATTAAAATTATATAGGGCAGAAAAATGCTTCTATTTCAGATCTGTCAAATTGAAAACAAACACATATATTGGGCATGCTATTTCTCACATGGTACAATCCTGGAGTAAAATCAAACAATCTTTACCACCACACAATTTTTTTCAAGAAAGAAATCATCTATCTTTCTGTATAAGAAACCTAGAATACAGGACTAGAGAGATGGCTCAGTCATTAAGAGCACTTGCTGCTCTTCCAGAGGCCCTGGTTTTGATTCCTGGTACCCACATGAAGGCTCAAAATCATCAGTAACTCGTTTCCAGGGATGTAACTCCAACTTCGGGCCTCAATGGGCATTGCACACACATAGTACAGGCATACATAACAACAAAACACCTATACACATAATTTTAAAGAAGAGTATGAAAATAACTATGGATTTAAATAAATATAAAATGTAACATGTGAATATGTTATAGTACACAGGTATCTTTACCTTCTAACCCCAAAACAAAAACAATAAAAATCTACACAGTCCCTTTCTTCTTCAGCCACAAGAGGAAGTTAGCATGAAAATGAATTAGAATAGCCCAAGCTACAAAAAGACAAAAGGACTAGGAAACTGAGGCCTATGAAAAAAGGGCAAGAAGTCAGAGATGCCTACAGAGTTTATACTTTACACCTAAAAGTTTGCACAAGTCACCCAGCAGCTAAAGACATGAATTTCTGTTCTCTAGCAGTTGTCAATCCTCATTTCTCCTGACCATGTCATTTCTGGTGACCAACACACCTCATAAAATGAAAGTTAAGACAGTTTTTTTACTATTGAAAAGTAATACCACTTTTTAGATATCAACTTGTTTTCCAAAAATACAAGTACTTAAGAACACATAGGACTGGAAAGGTAGCTAGCTCGTTTTCCCAACTGCCACAGGGTCCTTATAAAAAACACAATTTTAAAAAAGGATTTTATTTTATTTCATGTGTAAAAGTATCTTGCCTACATGTATGTGTATGTACCACATACATGCTTGGTACCCTCAGGGGCCAGAAAAGAGCATTAGATACCCTAGAAATGGAGTTACAGACAGTGATGAACTATCGATGTGGGCACTAGGAACTGAACTTGGGTCCGCTAGAAGAAAAGCACTCTTGACTGCTGAGCCATCTCTCCAGGCCTTCATAAATATAACTTTTATGGAACACACTGAATGTAATTCCTGTTGTCACTGCAACTTTAACATGAAATGCAGCTGATCCAGAAAAATCAGTGGATTCCCAGCTTAGGAATGGCAGGGTTTCCTTATGCATCTGTAGAACTAAGGTCAGCTTTGGCTTCAGCTGTGAAACAAGCAAGATAAGCTATGAAGCAAACATGAGCATTCAAATGATCTCCTATCACCTATACACTCTTAGGATGTGTCTTCTAAAACTATTTTAAAAGCAAATTGCAAGTTTTGAACATAAAGAAAATACCTTTGTTTAAAGACATGGCATCACCATCTACATGTAATCCCAAAAGAGGCTTTCAGGAAATACCATGCTGGTTGGGTACTTGCCCATTCATAGCCTGTTTGTTACTAGACCATAGAAAGATGAGGACAGAACCTGAGACAGGTTATTGTTGCTGGGACAACTAAGTGTATGGTTATTTCTTTTAGTGGTTAATTTCAACTGTATTTCACAAAAGTACTATGCTCCAGCATTTAGGACACAATGAATACAATTCACCTGTGAGGCACGGTTACAGATAAGCATCTTGTTTTTGCTAAGTTGTCTATAACAAGGAACTAAAAGTAACTGGAATCCAGAGACGAAAACAGACAAAGAATCGTAAGCATGCTGATCCAGGGTTTCATCACTAGGCTGAGGGAGACATGGAGAGTTGCCCACCAGTGAATCTACCTTCCCTCTTAGGTAGTAGCACAGCAGCAGTGACCAACCCATGGCTGCTTGGCTACATGGCTTCTGTCAGCTATTCAGAGACAGTGCCAATGAGCTCCTGCCAATGCAGGGTCATCATGCCCTGTCTAAGATGGTGGCTTCAGCTTTCTCTTTCTTGTTCCTGTCTCCAGCACAACATAGGAATGGCAGTCCAGTCTAGGTGTGAAGTTTGACAATGGTAAAAGTCTTAGGAACTCAGAGCCAAGTGGGGAGGTACAAGAAGATACAAGCAATATTAATGTGGTCAGTATTTCTCATAGATCAATACCACAAGTTTCCTGTAGTGCTGACAATTTGGATTAGAAAAGTCTTTGTTTGGAAGGTTGTTTTGTGTTTTAGGACATTTGTGGGAATTTTAAGTTTCTACCAGCACTGCCACCAAGTCATCACAATAAAAACATCTATGGGAATTGTCAAGTGTCCTGAAGAACACAAATCAGCCCCTTCACTGGCAACACTGAGCAACCACCTAGCATACATTTTGAGAATGTGGGATTTTCAAGGTACTGTGGGAGGGGGTGGACAAAGGTGTAATTCTGATGCTGAGTAGATCACAGGCTAATGGAGAAAGCAGAAATAAGCATAAACAGCTAAAATATAACGAAGCATTATAACGGAAGGAGGCAGGGTGCTTTGCTAAGGAACTGGAGGAACATCAGCGTGGGTGATACTTAAGGCTAGTTGAGAATGTGAGAAACTGTTAACCACAGAGTGGAGAGCACAGGTGAGCCAGGGATGTTTGCAGTATTGAAAGCCTATGTATGCAGTGAGACTAGCAGCAAGCTGCTGGGAGATGAAACTCTGAGTAGGAAACCGGACGTGCGGAGCCCCACAGCTCACCTGCTGTGAAAAGTCACTCAAGAATTTATGCAAAGAAGAGCTAAACCCAGTGAAAATGTTAAAACCAAAACGACCTGGCTGCTGTCTGCAGAGAAGCAAGGGGTAGAGCAAATGCAGCTTCAGTTGTAGTCAGCAGGGGACGGAAAGCACTTGCAGTCTGTGAGAAAATTCCTGGCTTCTCCAACACACTTACAAAGCAGGGATGACTCAGGAAAGCACAGGCTTAGAGAACCCTGTAAGGTCACTACATTTGATATACTTACAAAAATGTCAGAGGAAGCTGGATGTATATGGCAGAGCCATAAGCAGCTGTGGAAGCAATGCTTTCTGTATGAGTAGGAACACTTCATTTGTGACTGGATTAGACTGCATAGAGAAAACAGAAAGAAAAGGTACAAGAGCCCTGGAAAATGCCAACACCATGACTAGTTTTTAAGAGGAAATTTAAAGTGTGGGTGTTCTGGGAAACTGAAGAAAGCATTTTATGGATGAAATGCTTGGGTGTTTCAAATGCAGACAAAAGATCAAGTAGGACCTGGCAATACTGGACCACAAAGTACCTTGATACAGACCTTTCTAAATTGTACTTGGAGCAGGGAAAGTGGACAGTGGGGACCTCTCAAGACACAGAAAAGAAACATGGAGGTATGCAGAGGGACCGTCTGGTGGAGAGATGCTGTCTTCCTTTCTTTCTGTAAAGAGGAGACAGACCAGGCTGTTGATGAGAGAGAGGATGCAGAGTCTGGATGCAGAGAGAGGAGAGGAACTTACAGTGAGTGCTAAGCAGGAGAATGGTTATTACACTTGTACCTCGGGAACAACCGACACTGACTTAATGTGGAAAACACATAAGCAACAACAACAAAAGAGAGGCAGGACCAGGTTATGAAGGGGCCCCGTGAGAAAT